GGAGAATGCATCAACATAAGATCATTGCATTCTATAATGAATATCGATGCCAGCAAATCGTTCTTCAAGAGTATCTCAATAAGGTCGTACCCAGTGCACAAGGCTCCCGCTTTACGCAGGGTCTGGGAGAGGTGAATGTCGGCTAGCCTTACCCCCATTTTATGGAGAGGCTGCTCCCAAGTCTCGAACCCGAGACCTACCGCTCATGGGCGAAGGCACTTGCCATCGCACCAAGTGCGACCTCTCTTCAAGAGTATCTCAATATAGAAACAAAAAGTGAGGTGTATCTTTCAGTTTATACATGGTAAGTCATAAGTAAACAAAATCAATTGAGGCGGGAAGAGCCAGACACCGTAATTGCATCATGCGTATGAACATAATAATGCCTCTTGTCAAACTGTCTAGAAAGAGAACATTGTCTATGTGAAACAGCATGAAGCTTTACCAACTTGATTGGAATCCTTTTCTTTATTAAGCAAAGAGAAACATGACCTATACGAGCCGTTCTCATAAGAAACAAACAATCGAAACATGTACTCAAGAAAGCGAGCAATGCGCCTTTCCTCAACCATGTGACAAAATACCGATGCTAATAAGAATCGAAAATTTTAACTTTTTGGACAGAAAGTTACCTGGCAAGCACTGCTGAAGATAATCCAACTGTGATTTAACTCCTGAAGCAGAAAATGAACATAAAAGAATGAAATTTCAGAAACAAGGAAAAACACCAACTATTAACATATCAATTTCAGTACACAATCAATCATTTCGAACATAAAAATGTAAACCCAGCACACCAATTATACTGCCCTATTCAATCAACCTTCACCCCAGAGAACTCACTCACCGCAAACCCAGATCACCCCCAACACATTTCAACACTGAAACCAAAGCTAAATCCCAAAGTAACAAAAACCCAGCTCCAAAATTTAAACTAAAACATACCCAGATGAACATTTCAATCAAATCACAACCACAAAACGAGCAGGATCCATGAGAAAATCGCTGAAAATGAATGCAAAGCAGAGAAAAATATTACCTTGCTGGGTACACAGAATGATAGGAGAATAACTAGTAATGACGCTTATGCACAAATCCCTTCTCTTATCCCACGAGTAGGGACTGTCCTCCGTCTGATCCTCGTGAAGATTGAAGGTCATCACTGTCAAAGAAACACTCATTTTTTTGGTTCTTCAGGTGCAAACCTCTGCCTGCTCTTTTATTTGTTACATGATCAGTATATATGTTGCGTATCTCAACTGCTCCACGAAGAAGAAAAGTAGTAGGTGAGATCGCTTTGCTTATTCCATTCTTGTACGCTCTGGGGAGCAGATTCTAAGAGATGACGAAGCTTCGATATTAAAATACAAAACACAAGAGGGGAGAGAGAGAGAGAGAGAGAAGAGTCAATTATGTCGGAAGCGAGAGAGGATTGTCAATTGTGTTAAAGTGGGTTTTGACAGGTGGCAACAAGTTTTTTTTTCTTTTTGGTTATATAACGGAAAAACTAAGTAAGATTGTTGTTGTAATGTTTTCATTTAGTGTTGGAGTTGTCATATTCAAACAACCAAATTATCGAAATCATGCAATTTTATCGAAATTTCTCTTTCGCATATTCCAATATTAACCTCATTTGTTAAAAGTTAAAAATTTTCTTTTTAATTAGGGCAGATTTGAACTTTTAAATGTAATACATATTGGATCCAAAAAATAAATGTAATATAGATTAAGCAAGTTGACCAAAATAGTGTACCCTAACTCAACCGGCTCAATTTCGATTCTCCTTCCGCTTAGAGTATACTTCAGAGTTCCGATGGAACCCGAAACCAATGAGCTCTCCAAAGATCTCGTGCTAAGTAGAGATAGGAATAAACATATAAGGCTTACAAGATCCACTTTCCTGAACGATGTGAGATGTTACACTTGCAACTATGTCAATACTCTATTACTACAAACCTTAAAAGTGAATAAATAATTTTTCCGCTTGACTCGGCTTTAAATTGGGACGTGAATTTCTCAAAACAAATAAAAATCCTTACCTTTTAGTGGTTGAAGAATGACATAACTGCTACGGTGGTTGCTAGAAATCTTCTCACCCCCAAGAATAACAGGATCATTTCCAAGCGGTCTGATGAGCTGTCTGTTCAAGATTCTTTGGCTTTCAGTGTTCAGTGTGCGAGCTTTATATCAAACATGGGCCAACGCCTTTTTGCTTGAACTCGTCAAGTTGAGCCACTGATGGCTGAGGTGGCGAGTCTTAAGCAAGAGATTAGAGGGCTTAAGCATGAAAACAAAGAGTTGTACATGCTTGCCAATAATTACTTGATGAGCATGAAGAGAAAGCTTCGGATTCAGAGTAATCACACTTATGGCTTCGTCACCTTCCAGGTGTTGGCCAGCACGACTCGATTCAGGATCCTAGTGGACATTCCGGGTTGGGATGTGTCTGTAACATTCTATTGATTTTACAACAACAAAAAAAAAAAAAAAAAAATCTTAAGTAAATATATCGGGTATTAATGAGAGTTTGATATAATTTCTCAACTGTTGTAGTATGAATTTAGTGAGGGAAAACAAGGGAGATAGGCCAAAGAGGAGTAGGGACAAAATGGCTTGAGAAATTCTGTGTGTGATTTTTATCATGCTTTGTGCCCTTATTTACATTAAAAAGGGAAAGAGAAATTTTTCTATTCTAGTAATACAAGTTGTACAAGAAAATATCTTCTAGATCTCCTAGGATCCCTAAACATGATTTATTAGGATGTACAAAATCATATTTCTAGCATAATTAGGACCGCGCAGCATCAACACTATTGTTGAATTATTTCATCACTACAAATTTAGCCAACGATACAAGGATGTAAACTTCGACACATGCCTAAGAATTTGGAGGAGCTGAGGTTTAAAGATTTGTTCTTGAGTTTTGGAAGGAACCCAAAGCCTGATATGCAATCACATAAATTAAGGGAACTTTAACGAAAAGTATCCGGTACTGTTCACTTTAACGAAAAACCACATTTTTACACTAAAAAGTCAATCCTGGTACTATTCACTTTACCCTTTATTTTGTCCTTATCATTAAAACTCAAAGTTTTCAAGCCATTTTCATTAGTTTTCCTATAAATTAATGAAAGCATTAATTTCCAGTTTTATTGTTGTGTTGTTTCTTGAAATTTAATTCTTCAACACTTTGTGATGCAATCACATTTTTTCTTTAATTAGGACATGAAGTGAGAGAATTTCTCAGCAATAGTATGCAGAATCCAAAAACAAAAACAAAAACAAAACAAAAACAAAAACAAAAAAAAAAAAAAAAAAACTCAATCATCAGGCAATTCATTATTTGTAAATTTTGTATTTTATGCTATTCCGTGCATGTACGAATACGTAAGTATAAGCTAACATGCATACTCTTAGGCATATATATATGCATGCATGCAGATTTACATAAGATGTAGGTGTGCGTTGGGGGATTGATTGAACTTGAACTTACCATATCAAATACTGACATAGGATCAGCCAGTAAGCATGTCAGCCTTCCTTTACCATAACCAGTAATTATGGAATCAAATAGTTCTGTAGCCAACCAAAAACGTGTCTCATAACAATAAGCTTCTATATATTCGACCAAAATATAAATGAGCTGCTATATTCATCGACAAGGAAATTTTATCAGATTTCCTCGAAGGGGCTTCCCGACAAGGAATTTGAAGTTTGGTCAACCATCAATCCAGAGATTGTAACTGTATATTTTCCTAATTAAATATCGCTATAGTGTCCCTAGCATTTGTCATATAAAATTAGGTTTAGAAAACAATAAGGTAGTGATTTTCATACCAAAAATATAGTCTTATCACAAAAGGGTAATGTTTAGAAGATTAAATTTCTAAATCAAATTTTGTAAATAAAATGATGTAGATGTTGATGATTAGATTATTACTTAAGAGTTGATCAACGTGTTTATTTCTTATTGGTGACACATAATTTGTTTTGCAAATTTGATCTCCCTACCATCATCCATCACAAAAATATACTCTTATCACATTTGCATCACCTCTGTAATAGAAATAGGATCTATGTATATTTGAAGGTCTTACCTCTATTACAAAAGTGACACAAATGTGGTATGAAACATGTTACTCTTTTCATTCACCTTATTTTGCCTTCCACAAAATTTTTAATTTGTTAACAAAAATGCTACTCTTACCACATTTGTACCACCTTTCAAACAGAGATGAGACCCACATATGTTGTTAGGTTTTACCTCTATTAAAGAAGTGGTACAAATGTAGTATGTGGTAAGCATAGTATCACTGATTTAATGAGTAATGATAGAAAGACTACATATTTATATTACATTGGTACATAAATGTAATCTCCCACATATTTTTCTTCTTAAATATTTGTTTGCTCTCCATTCCTTTGTCTTTATCTTAGAAATGGGCATTGAAGAAGCAAAAATTCTTGAGTACTTAAGAATACCAGGTCTCTGAAGCACCCAAGAGAGTCCCTTGAAAAAAAGTGAACAAATATTAAAAAGAAAAAGTGTGTGCCACACACGAAGCCAGAATTTCTCGAGGAGAGGGGCGAACTTAAAAGAATACAAGGTTAAAGAAAAATGGCAACAACTAAATTTTTTAATATAGTAATGTTTTCCATAATTAATCAATACAAACAAATTACAATTATTGCCGGCGATATTTCATGTCATGAAAACGTCGCATAATAGGCTCATTATCAATAAAAGCAAATACATTTCTTTCAATGTAAACAATCATGCTATCAATGGTTTATCACTCAACCATTGATCTCCCATTTTGTTACGCAATGGTGTTTTCACAATTTTCATAGCAGAAAAAGCTCTCTCCACCAAAGCGGTTGCAACTGGTAACACCAAAGTCAATGTAAGAAGCTTGTACAGTAACATATAGCTTTCACACCTCCCGGTCTTCACCAACTCTTTTGCAAGATCACTAATTCCTCTCAATGATGAAAACTCACTATATGAATGTAATTGTCAATGCATTATTCACCATTAATTCCTGGTTCAGCCCCAATTTCACTACCAAACTATGAATCATCATCCCCATATTTACTTCTCTATTCCCAGCACACAAAGGCAATACAGTCACCAACATAGCAACATCCGGTACTAGAACTTCCTCACCCTCTAAAATCTTCCCCAACAAACTATAACTCTCATGATCCAATCCATTCTCTGAGAACCCGCATATCGTCGAATTCCAAGAAACTAAATTCTTCTCAGGCATTATCTCGAACACATTAGCTGTATCCTCAACTGACCCGCATTTCCCATACATTGCAATCAACGCATTGCCTACAAACACATACGAAATCAGTCCCATCTATTGATCAATTCCACAAACACATCAATGGCATCAACAAAAAGCTCGTGTACAAGCGCATTCCACTAGAACAAGTTCTTCCTCTTCAGCCTGTCGAAAACTGAGCGGGAATCCAAAGGAGAACCGCACATTGCATACATGATAATGATGCGTGTGTTGAGAACAAAGTCACATCTGAAAACGGTCGACGTAGAGACCAAGTTGTGGACTTTGCGTCCGGTTTCGACATCCTTGTGGCACCCACATGCCTGTAAAGAGGCTCCCATAGCGTTCTTCCCTTGCTGTGAGTTGGAAACTGCATCGTGAGAGTGTACTTGAAAAAGGTCAGAGCCTCCGAGAGGTTTCCGTCCTTCACACAGCCTGGATTTAAAAAAAAATAGCAATCTGCTGCAGCTGCGCGCAGCAGAACAGATCGCCCAGGAAATAGAGGAGATGAACCAGTGGGTTTTCCGGCGAGGGGAGTGGAGAACCCAGCTCTCCAGTGGTGTTTCCCGGCGAGGGGAGTGGCGACCGCCACTCCTCGCCCTCACGTGGCTTCGCCAGAAGTGATTCTAAGTTCATAATATTTTTCTTTTCTAGAACATAATATTCTTTTTGTTGTTGGCAAAATAACAGCACTCTTATGTGTGATTTTAAGTCATCTCTTTTAAAGACTATTGACACTAACACAGGACAATTTATTTATTGAATATCTAGATATAATTTAATGTCTTAGTAGATGAAATCTGAAATTTAAAAATTATTTTTTTGGACAGTAATTTTATAAATGTAAATTTAGTTTATAAAAATGTTAAGATGCATGCAACCTCATTACCTGAAACCTTGAATCCACCCTGGAAATGGCTCCTTATAAGTACTTGTAATCACGGTTGGGCGGATGATGACTACAGGTACATTGTCTTTTGAGCAATATAGAATCATTTCTCCTATCGCCTTCGTGAATACATACAAGTTTGGCCATCCATAAAATTTAGGGAGTTTTAATGAAAAAGGCTTGAACTAAGTTTATTTTAATGAAAAACCACTCTATACTATTATTTAACCAAAATGACTTCATACTTAATCATAAGAACAAAACTAATTTATATTAGACCCACAAACATTTAACACACACGGACTGAACTAAAAGCCCAATTTCCACCTTTGCCCATAACAGCAATGTTATTCTGTCAGCCAAATCTGTTAGAAATAAACTTTCCCTTATTAACAAGTATGCCATTATGTCAGCCAGTTCTTTCTCTCTTTCTTATTTCTTGTGGCCGTTCGTTCCCCCTTCAGGTTTTGGTTTTTTTTTTTTTTTTTTTTTCTTCTTGTCGTCCGCCTTCCTCTTGAAAGGGAGGTAAAACTCATCGTGGGTGATGGAGAGTGGCCACCTCCTCAAACCATTTTGCACGTTTAAAGAAAATGGGAGCAATTGCTTCCCCAATTACCTTTTTTATTATATATATTTTAATATTATTTTATTAATCGATCACTTATTTGTAATTAGGTGGTTCAGATTCTTTTGTTGATCAATTTTCACCCTTAATTTTGCTTACCACATAGAACTCACTTCCCTAGAATGCAGGAGCCACTTCCATTGGAAATTATCCCAGCTTCATTTTCAGTTTTTGAGACTTTGTAGATTTGCCAGTGGGGTCTCAACTCTTGACGGATAAAACAATGGCCTTGTAGATTTGCCCGTAAAGCTTCGGTATTTTCACCGCCTCGGGTGTTTTCAACACCATCACCTTCTCCTTATTATCTGCCTTTACCGGAAGTGTTGCTCGTGGCTTTGTTATGTCCTAGCAACAACCTGAAAACAAATCAACAAAAAATGCATTGATATCGCACTAACACTTTGATACTTTACATCTTCAAGTAAAAAAAAAAACAAAAGATCAAATAGCTACAATATTTCCCCAAGTAAACAAAATTATCAATTATAAACATTGAACACTAACTATTTCTCGAATTGGATAGGGGTACCGTTACTATATCTTAAATAGAACACTACTACTATATTATTTCTTAAACTGAATACTAGCTCTATCACTATTTCTTAAACTGAACACTTATTATTTCTTAAACTGAGCACTGGTACTATCACTATTCTTAAATTGAACACTAACTATTTCGTAAACTGAGCACTAGTATTATCACTATTTCTTAAACTGAATACTCACTATTTTGTATACTGAACACGGGGTATTATCATTATTTCTTAAACTTAACACTAATATTATTTACTATTTCTTAAACTGAATACTGATTATTTTTTAAGCTAAACACTAACTATTTTTAGAATTAAACACATGTACTGTCACTATTTCTTAAACTAAACACTGATTATTTCTAGAACTGAAAAATGGCTATTTATTAAATTGAAAACTTGTTCTATCATTATTTCTTAAATTAAATACTAACCATTTTTCGAATTGAACAAGGGTACCATCACTATTTCTTAAATTGAGCACTGATGCTATCACTAATTTTTAAACTAAACACTAACTATTTCTTAAACTAAACACTAGTACTATCACTGTTTCGTAAACTAAACATTGACTATTTATCAAATGAACACTAGTACTAGGGGTGGGTTCGGTTTAAATCGGTCCGTTTTTTTGCCAAAAGCGAAACCAAATGGAAATTTCGGTTTCGTTCGGTTCGGTTCATTTTTTTCGGTTTTTTCGGTTCGGTTTTTTCCGGTTCGGTTTCGGTTTTTTTTTGTTTTTTTTTTCTTTTCAAAAAATGAAAAACATTGAAATTTTAAATTTTAAACATATCCAACACAATCATAACATAAGCATTCTAACTAGAATCAAAGACAATGAAAATAAACATTTAAAGTTGAACTAAAATCATCAATCAAGTCTTCCAAAGTCCAAACTAACAACCTCACAACACAAAAATCGTACAAATGACTTAGAAAAGTTAAATTGTATGATGTTGTTCAAAGATCAGGGTTGTTTGCTTGTAACTGCAAGTTGACAACTTGATTAGTAAAAGTAATACGTGGGTGGATTTATTTAGTGTGTGTTGAATTCTTTTCCATCACAAATTACTCAAGTAATCTACCCGAAATAAATGTTTATGGATTCTGTTACATGTTATATGAGAGTAGATTTGGAAAAGAAAGTTGGGGCAGAAGTAGACAGTACTATGGAGATGGATGTAGGTACTTCAGGAGGAGGTTTGGTTGCAGAACCTTATATGGGGGAGAAATAATAGGTTAGGGTTTAGAGTTTTTATAGGCCTTTTTTTTAATATTTTGAGCTTAAAGTTTGGCAACACATTGGGTTTAGCACATTTTAACTTACAAATTGGGTTTAGAAAATAATACCAAAACAAATAATAAATAAATAAAAATTAATTTAATTAATTCGGTTCGGTTCGGTTTGGTTCGGTTTCTAGATCACTAAAACCGAACCGAACCAAAAGAATTCGGTTCGGTTCGGTTTTTTCAATTCGGTTCGGTTTTTTCGATTTCGGTTCGATTTGGTTTTCGGTTTTTTTTCGGTTTTCGGTTTTTTGAACCCACCCCTAACTAGTACTATCACTGTTTCGTAAACTAAACACTGACTATTTATCAAACGAACACTAGTACTATCATTGTTTCGTAAACTAAACACTTAATCATTTCATCTTCTTAAAAACTCACTTGAAAAAGATATGAGTAAAAATATTGCAAAAGGCCAGAAATGGTCAACATAATCAAAACTACAAGACCCCAAATATGCAGAAAATAAATAGAGAAAAAAACTTTTTAACAAGAATGATTATAATGATTATTATAATGTCAAAACAAAATAAATGTGGGAGAGAGAGAGCAGTGCAAACATAATTCCTATAATTAAGTATAGTTCAATTTGGTTCTTCTAACAATCTGGAGAAGCATCTCCCAATCTCATTGACATTGCACAGCCCACAAAAACAAAACAGTAGAAAGCATTGCCTGCCGACAGTGGCAGCAGCCTCTAACCCACTAGTGGTGCTAAAAAACTGACGTTTAATGCACGGAATCCACCCAATGGTGACGGACCCAACCTAAATTTTTAAGAACCAATAATTATAACAAAAAAATATATGAAAAAATTAAGTTAACTACCATAAACAAAGAAAAAAAAAAACAGAATAATAATTCTGGAATTTGTCCAATATTTAGCAGCAGATTTTCAAGATTTCAAGCAATATATTTCGCACCCAAATGCTAATAACCAATTAATAATCCAATTATGTCATTAAATATTAATAAATCATGTGAAACTTGAAATAAAAGACCAACGTTATCTTTTGCGGGCAAAGATATGGAAGGAAAAAAGAAAATTGTATTGTAATTTGTTTCTGGGAAATACAAATCCACATTTTTTCACAAATTAAAAACCAAAGTTAGAGGTACCTCTTGGAGTCCATCTTTAAGCCATCTCTAATGATTGTCAGCACTCGCTCGAACCTCTATTTATCAGTGGAAGACTGGTCGGGAGCATCGCGAACTTCTCGAACTCTTCTTGGTCTTGGCTTCCTCATGGATCACAAGGGTGGCGTCATCTCCATCGTCAACGATCAGATCGGAATTATAAATTGAGAAAATAGCAGAGAGAAAATGACATGAGATATGTAGAAACTTGTAGAAACCGTACAAAAGCATTTTTTTTTTTTCATCTGAAGTGAAACGGATTAAATAAACGGGAAAAGGTGTTTGTCAGGGTATAATTGGAAACTCTTTCTTTGGGTCAGTTTTATTGGGCTGATTTAATGTTGGGTTTATCCCAACCATTAAATAAAATTAGTAGGTGATTTTTTGTTAAGATTCAAAATTGTGAAGCCCTTTTTCATTAATTTTCCTTAAAATGTAACCCTAATTGTTAATTGCGTTAAAGAAAAAAAGAAAATAATAGTTAAAAGAAAAAGAAAATAATAGGTTAACAGAAAAATAAACCAAAACCAAAATACAAAATTCATGTGTGACGGGTTTTGGCCAAAAAGATATATATGTGGGGGTGATTAATATAGGGCACGATTAGATTAGATAAAATGCTCTGTAACCTTTCAGTGCCAAAGTCCTTCATGGTGCTTGTAATAGTTTCTTCAGTAGCATCTTGTGCCTTTAATTCAGTTAACTTCTCCTCCATCACGTTCTTTTCATGTAGTTCGAAATTTTCTCTGTCATCCATTAAAAAAGATGAGCATTTCTCTGCTATGATTCCTGCCCTTTCACCACACACATAAGCTGTAAAACATTCACCAATATATGTCGATATTGGGAGCATGGTTAGTAAATGCTCAACCCTTTCTCTTATCTGAGAGGGCACTCCCAACAAAGCCTTTCGAAATATTCAGCTTTCTTTCCCCCGATAATACCTCTGTAAACAAGCTATAGTAGAGCAAGAATATCTCATATCATCAGGGTTAAAAGCAAGAGTATCCCATATCATGCTTTTTCCCTGTCTTTTCCTTTGGCCTTGTTCTTACCTGCAAGACAAGGAGAAAGAGAGCAATCAGTCAGCACTTGGAATCAAGCTTCCAGCCAGGAACTGACTGCCTGGAACCCCTTACCTGATTACTTACCTGGCATTGCTCTCGAGTACTCATCTTCAACATCTTATGCTTCCAGGGAAGATACCGCATCTGCCTGAGGAACAGATAGGGCAGGGCAAGTGAGAAGGATACAAGGAAGCATGTGGAGACAAGCGTAACAGCACACGTGCCGATACATCCACTACTACTCTATCAAAAGCAAAGCAAAAGTATCCCCATATCAGCAGGGTCGAACGTACTCTAGATTTGATGGACTTGTTTTGACCCTCAAATTCTTCAGTCGGCTTTATACTCTGGAGGAAACCAGAAAACCCTCCAGCCCAGTTCAAGAATAAGCCTGTGGAAAGTTACTTCTTCAAAAGAAAAAGTATCCCATATCATCATCTCTCCTCATTTTTCTTCTCTTTATCCTTCATGCTGCCTGCAAGATAGGGAGAATGTGAACAATCAGCCGGAGCTCTGATTGCTTACCTTGTCTGTCACCTCTTTCAGCAGATCCCCCAGCTCGGCGACTTGGGGGACTCCTACTACATGGTTTGTATCTCTCGCTTGACCACCAAGCATGAAACTACAAGTAAGCTTCAAGTGAAATTGATACATTACCTTGTGCATCTCCACCAGCTACAGATACCACCCCTGGATGGAGGAAGAGTACTTCCAGAGAAGATGCCACATCTACCTATGAGACAGATAAGGCAAGTCAAGACGATACCACACTCCGGTACTTAGAAGTTTCGTGGCTACGAGATCATTCTCCCACAATATTTCCTAATGTCATTTGTACTAAATCATTCACTTGTACTCACTCAAGGAGAGCTTGAACCTATGTACTTGTGTAAACCCTTCACAATTAATGAGAACTCCTCTATTCCGTGGACGTAGCCAATCTGGGTGAACCACGTACATCTTGTGTTTGCTTTCCTATCTCTATCCATTTATATACTTATCCACACTAATGACCGGAGCAATCTAGCGAATATCACAAAAAGTGACCGTTTTCGCTACCTAGGGTCTATCTTGCAAGAGAACGGAGAATTAGATGGAGATCTCAACCATAGAATACAAGCTGGATGGATGAAGTGTAAGAGTGCATCCGGCGTGTTGTGTGACCGTCGTAGGCCACTGAAGCTCAAGGAAAATTTTATAGGACGGCAATAAGGCCAGCGATGTTGTATGGCACAGAATGTTGGGCGGTGAAGCATCAACGTACACAAAATGGGTGTAGCGGAGATGAGGATGCTTCGTGGGATGTATGGGCACACGAGAAAGGATAAGATTGAGAATTAGATATCCGAGGTAAAGTAGGAGTAGACAAAATTGAAGGAAATATGAGAGAAAATCGGTTCCGGTGGTTTGGACATGTGCAAAGAAGGTCTACTGACGCTCCGGTTCGAAAATGTGACTACGGGACAGAGGTTCGGGGCCGAAGGAGTAGAGGAAGACCTAGGAAAACTTTGGAAGAGACTCTAAGAAAAGACTTGAGTACTTGGATCTAACGGAGGACATGACACAAATGAGCGCAATGGCGTTCTAGGATTCATATAGCCGACCCCACTTAGTGGGAAAAGGCTTTGTTGTTGTTGTTGTTGTTGTATTTATTCAAAAACATGTTAAAAATACGTGCAAAATACACGGATAATTTGTATTATTGGAAATTATATGAAATTACGTGTACCAAATGTGAAAGTACATTGGAGTTTCAAAAATATGTACTTTAAAAACATTGAAATTATACGACGAATGAAAGTATTATTTAAAAATGCATACATACATGTATAATATATAAATTTACTGACAAAAATTTGGCCATAAGTATTTATAGTAAAAGAAACAAAAGATAATGTATTTCAAATAATAAAACTACGATATAAATAAGAAAAGCTTGCAAAACAGTTTGGGATAAAGAAATAAACAAAGACAAAGAAAAACTAACCGGTTGATATATGGAGAAGCATCTCCAATTTTAAACATTTCTTTGCGAAACCCAACACATGAAGAACTCCAAATGTATTCACGTTTAGCGCAATATCATATCTGCGGACACAAACATCACACAGTGTATATGTTGCGTGTCAGTCTATATTAGTATATTAGTGGTGGAAGTTGGATCAGAAATTTCGATTCCGCATGATAAATTATTTCTCGAATCGAAAACTTTTCAAATTCAAATATTTATGAAATATCAAATGAAAATTGTACTGCATGCATATGGAAAGTCTGGAAATTCTAAATTTCCGATTCAAATTTTTTTTCCAGAATTTTCCAATTGTACAATAAAAAAGTTTCAAAGTTTTTATAGCTATTGACTAATTGTACTGTAGAACTTCTATAAATGAATATTGCGAGGGCGAAAAATTGGACTAAGGAAATTATTGTTTTAGAAAGGGATATCATTATATGTATAAATAAATAATTTATTAATTTATTGATAAATTAATGTTTATTAGTTTTAAAAAGAACTTTGCCTTGAACTAAGGCGTGAATTTGAACTCTGATTGCTCCATAATTTTATCTAATCCAATAAATCTATCGTTTAACCAAAAAAAATGTTCATAGATGTATCTTATATCTTATACAAAAATAAAGATACATATAAACTTCAAATTAGAAGATCAAGTGTTTTCAGAATTTAATGCCTAGAAAATAAAGTGTTTCAAGGTGTTGCATATACATTGAATATAATTTTTATAAAAGGAATCACTGGGACTTGAGAATCATTATCTATATCGGTCCTCATGGCGTCTCATTTGAAAAGAGTAAAAGAATCAACATTGACTAATGAGATTAGGAGAGCATTGTGCGAGTATAAAAATGAGCATCCCTTTTCTAGTAAAAAAATATGCAACAATGGGTTCATAAAAAGATTCAGCTCTCCATCAGCCAATCAACAGTATCAATTTATCAATTATTAATTTATACATTCACCGGGCCTTAAAGAATTTTAAGAAAATTATTATCTTATGCATTTAGCGTGGTTATGGTTTTATTACATTGGCCCGAGTTGGACTAAAAATTTTAGGTTATTAATTTACAAAACATTCATATTTTTTTTTTTGAGTATATTGATATTTTTACAAAACATTCATTTATAGATGAAGGTTTTACTATATATATCTACAACTCAATTTTTTACTTTTATTGTGTTCATTGTTTTTTGAGCTCATCGATATATTTATACTATGGGGTGAGAGAAATAATTTGGCTACAAACTCGTTATTCACAAGATTCAAACCTAAGATATCTCATACAAGTAAAAAGATCTATCACTAGACTATAAAGTCTAGTACTAAGAAGCTGGATAATAACAAATTCTAATATTATATTATTTAATATATAAATTATTAATATTTTATTATGATCTCGGTGACCGGAGATGATGAGGAGTCTATCGGGAGTGGTTGTTGAGCATGACAAGGACGAGAGAGGATAGTCTTAGCTAGTCCCATGGTTATTGGGAGGTCTCGTTAAGACCTCTTAGTGAAGGGTTTTGTTCATGCTAGTCCCCTTTAGTCTCATTAATGTTAGTCCCAGCATGGAACAAACACAGTATTGGACTAACAGCTAGTCCAGTCCAGTCCAATCCCACTTAGTGAGGGCAAACAAACGCCCCCTATTAGTTTTAATGTGTTTTATTCATAGTGTTTATATCTAATTATACACTTATGTACAATCATAAAGATACTATATACAACAGAACTTGTACTAAATAATTAATAACATTAAATTGCATATACAAGGTACTATTATTATACGAAATTAATAACATTAAATTGCGCATACAAATATTTTTATGGATATCCAAATACTTATAAAAAGTATGACATTCTAAATTATGTTCCAAAAATTATGAGAAAACACCAAATCAAAATATTTCGAATTTTGATAAAAGTTTGATTCCAAAAATTTTAACATTTTTTTTGTCAAACGATAGATTTTGTTAGATTAGCCATCGACAGAGTTCAAACCTATGCCGTCATACAAGGATTCAACTCATTTCCACCACTATGGTAATCTTGCTTCGAATCCAATATGTCTGAAAATCATACCTAGTCTCTCTGTGTAGTGGCAGGATTTCACTATGTATTGGTCCATGTAGTTTACTTCAAGTTTCACTTTAGTCCCGTAGTTTAAATATGTCAAAATTGGAGAGGACGAAACGGAAGACAAGACATGGATTGCATGGTGAATGCATT